AACAAGTCACTAATTGATTATCTCTACATGGTTATACAATCAGTTCAATTATCCTATGTTTGAATACCGTAGAATATATAAACCGTAAATAAAGCAATAATAGCTCACTGTATGATCACGAAGAAACCCCAACTGGGTAAAAACTCCAGACACTTTGCCAGTCAATAATCCACTATAAAATATTTATAACTTACAGTCTACCATACTAGATGACAACATGTACTATCTAATCTCCTAATTGCAATTCCAACAGCTCTCCTGAATCTTGTGCTCTTGCACCAACTCCCAGTTGCAGTTTCCAAAACTCTTCTGGATTGCGCTCATGCAATAATTCCCAGCTTTGGAAAATCGTCTATCTCCTATAGATTCACAAAGAACACCGCGTTCTTCAACGACTGGAACTCCAGTCACCTTCTCTTGATCTTCAAAAACTCTGACAGATATGAAAGAAGTAGCAGTTTGGTATTAAGATTATGAAATTGATGTTTTTCTCACCGCCAAAACAGATCATTATGTGAATAACGAAGGTTGAAGAGCAATTGATGAAGATAATATGAAAAGCTAAGTGTTTGCTCAATGACCAACCTTAGAAAAACCATTATGTGGCGTTTAGTATTTATGGTTAGGTTAAGGAAATGGGCCGGACAAAAAGCCTTTAAAAAATGAATTAAAAAATTCCTAGATAGCACTTTCGCTCGAATGAGGGATGAGCTGAGCGACAATCAAGCGCTCTGACGCTTGATTCAGACTTTGGTGATAAGCTAGCGATATTTCGGCGCCGTTTTTCCTTCTTTTCCATTCTCGAACCCTAGACCTAATATAACACAACTTTCTACTATTTGTACGTTACTCCTTGACTTTTACAATATATCAATTTAAGTCCATTTTGTTCATAGATTTGTCAAATACATTAAATACTTAACATGCTCATCATTTGGTATTCTGTGACAAAACGACAGTCTAAAGTCAAGGCAGTAGAAAAAAATACAGACTCAAAAATCGACACAACCAAAAAATTGTCTTGATCAAATTTTGATTTTCATATATCAAACCCTGTTTCCTGAAATAGACAACTCAAGTACCCAGTGTAAAATGTATGTGAAACAGTTAAGTGTAAAAGCAATTCAAGCAGTTCACAATGTAAAATTTATTTAAGCAGTTAATGCAATTTTTTTTATTTTCATATCATAAGATAAAATGAGACATAATATCAATGCAACCCAACATAATAAAACAAAACAATGATACTACAAAACATCAAAACATAATTTACCAATACCGAAATTTATTATTTAATCATATAATCAAAATTTTG